TTGAGAACATTCAGACTCAAGCTTTTCAATAGTTTATTCTGAAACCTGTTTGTTGTGCTTTGATCAGGAGAGAATGATTAAGATGAAGCACTAGGAAACCATAATCATAATATGCAAATTAGCTACATTAAAAGACATGGAAATCAGTAAATACCTCTATTTCTGTATTCCACATCTCAGATCTTACAGTCTCCTAAGGCTGCAGAGAATCTCAACCATCTTAGACCACTGTTTCTTAATTTTGGAGTGTCTTATGGATCTTTCTGAGATTATGATGACAGCTGTGAATTCTCAGAAAAATATACTTACACACAAAAGTTTGTATTCACTTTCAAGACAATTTCACTCCTAAAGTCAGTTCATGATCATAGGTGAAGAAATCCCTGTTCTGTCTTCAGGGGTCTGGAGAACTGACACACCCAAAGTCACACAGCTTCTGTAGCTGAATATTTCTGTGAGTCTGTTGTCCTTTTTTCTACCATTGTATCCTTTAGTTAAAACCCATTTTGTGGGGTGCCTGGGTGGCTCAGTCGGTTAAGTGTCCGCCTTCGGCTCAGTCACAATCCTGGGGTCCTGGGATCAAGCCCCGTGTTGGTCTCCCTGCTCAGCAGGGAGCCTGCTTCTCCCTCTCCCACTCCCCCTGCTTGTGTGCTCTCTCTCTCTCTCTCTCTATCTGCCAAATAGATAAAATAAAATCTTTTTAAAAAATACTTAGGGGCGCCAGGGTGGCCCAGTTGTTAAGCATCTGCCTTCGGTTCAGGTCATGATCCCTGGGTCCTGGGATCCAGCCCTGCATCAGGCTCCCTGCTCAGCGGGAGGCCTGCTTCTCCCTCTCCCACTCCTCCTGCTTGTGTTCCCTCTCTCGCTGTCTCTCTGTCAAATAAATAAATAAAATCTTTTTAAAAAATACTTTAAAAAACCCCATTTTGAATTACAGAGCTTAGAGGAAGGAATACTGGTTTTAAGCCTTAAAGTCAACTATTTCATCTTTTGCTTACCCAACATGGAGATTAAAGTACAGTCATACCCAAAACATTTATTCTTAATCTTTTAAAAAAATATTTATTTATTTGAGAGAGAGTACAAGAGGGGGGAGGGGAGAGGGGCTGAGGGAGAGGGAGAAGCAGACTCCCCTCTGAGCAGGGAGTCTGATGTGGGGCTGACCCCAGGACCCTGGGATCATGACCTGAGCTGAAGGCAGACACTTAACCAACTGAGCCACCCAGGCATCCCTATTCAAAATATTTAAATGATGGATTTAAAAAGGCCAAGTGAACTAAGCAAAGTTTTTTTATAACTTGCTGTGGTTATCATAGGGCTAATGTGGATTCGTAGTTGATCTAATTACTCCAGCAGTTTCTTCCCTGGGCCACCTGCATCTAAATTCGTCATGTAGCTGCCAGATCATTCTAGAGCACTTGTTCTGTTTATTCATCTTGTCTTTTTCTTGCACCTCCTGAAGATAACACCCTCCCCCCATCATTGTGCTCAACTTGACCTACTGAGCCTTTTTTGGAGGTATCAAGCTGAAATCGTTACAGTGAGCATTAGTCACCATTTATTATCATTATTTAAACTCCAGTTTTGTTGTGTCCTAGAAGTATACTTTGATTACTTAGTTTCTCCGTATTTCAATATCCTCATCTGTAAAATTGGACATAATACCATTTATCTTTTTTTTTTTTTTTAAGAGTTTTATTTATTTATTTGACAGAGAGACACAGCAAGAGAGGGAACACAGCAGGGGGAGTGGGAGAGGGAGAAGCAAGCTTCCCGCTGAGCAGGGAGCCCAACGCGGGGCTCGATCCCAGGACCCTGGGATCATGACCTGAGCCGAAGGCAGACGCTTAATGACTGAGCCACCCAGGCGCCCAATATTAATTGTTAATCATGTTTTCATAATATGTTTCCTAAAGCATAGTTTTTAGTAATGCATTGATAGTTAACAAAAGTAAAAAAAAAAATCCTCAGCCTTATTCTACCTTAGTAATTCTGGGTTTTATTCCCCATGCTATTCATCTTCTAAGATTAAAGATAATCAAGCCTATCTGCATTTATTGTTTTGCAGAAGTAGATATACTATGTCTGATGAAGTGATTTGATTGGGACATCACAGGAATGACGCAGTCTGAGAATGAACCTGTGTCAGCACCCACATCTGTTTTTGGTCCTTGAGATTGAGTACTAAACCATAGCATTTTCTCTTCATACTTCCTCTGGAGTTACTTGGTGCTGGCATTATTCATGTTCCTACCGTTTGGGCATACTACTTCATCTTTTATATTTTGCAGATAGGTCTCTGTTCAGTTCCTCTGAACATCACCATGTCCTTTGATTCTAAAGACCCTTTTAAATTTCTGAAATTAATTATTTGCAATTACACGGAGACATTCTTCATAGCTTTTCAGTTCTATGAGTCTCAGTGGCTTAATACCCTTACCTTGTTCTTATGGCATTCCTACCTTGTCTCTGTTTGTTTGTTTTTTTAGATTTTATTTATTTATTCATGAAAGAGAGAGAGGCAGAGGCAGAGGGAAAAGCAGGCTCCCCATGGAGCAGGGAGCCTGATGCGAGACTCGATCCCAGGACCCTGGGATCATGACCTGAGTCGAAGGCAGACGCTTAACCGACTGAGCCACCCAGGGGCCCCACATTGTCTCTTTCTGGAAAGAGACATTAAATCTAAAAAGAAAAAAATAAGACCAGTTTATTGTCAATTACAAATTAAATTGACAAAGAGACAAAAACTAAACACTGGTTTCCAAATGTGTAGTTCATTTGTGTCCATGGCTCATGTCATTCCTTCATAAAGGCTGTAATACTCTGTACTTACTAACATAACACACTAAATTAGATGGTAGCTGTTATCAATTGCAGCTTTAAGGTTTTAGAATTTTTATTATTTCATTTGCTTGATAGGTATCTTGCTCATTTTTTTTCTTCATAACAAACTCTTCAACATTTCAAGTGCTTATAATGACAAATGTTTATTTTTCTTGTCCATGGCTCTGCAGGGCAGTTGGGATGGCTCTGCTCTGGGCTCCAGGTTAGGTTTAGGTCTGCTTCATGTCTTTCCTTCTCCTTGGACTAGCAGCTGCCTGAACATGTTCTTCTCTTAGAGAATGACAGGAGTGTAAGAGTAAAAAGCTAAACGGCCCAAGCACATTTAAAAATACTTCTGTTGTGTCTGTGTAAAATCACATTGGCCCAAGCACGTCAGGAGCCCGGCCTCCTATCAGTGGAGCCGGCTGTATACTCATTGCACAGCAGGAGGCTGTGCGGAGTTACAGGGCAAAGGTTGTGGGTATCAGATGCTATTAAAGAGGAGAGAAAAACCGGGGGAAATAACCCGGACTACCACTGTAAGGAAGCAAACTGCTAAAAGTCATTAATTTAGTAATGCAGGGTCTGTGAATATAGGTCCATTGTAAACATGACAACACTTGCATATTATTTAACTACCTTCTTTTGAAAATGCTCTACCAGTGCTCTCAATTTCTTTCCAGAATGCTCTCTCTCTCTCTCTCTCTCTTTTTTTTTTTCCTTAAGTAGGCTCCACACCCAAGGTACACAGAATTCACTTCCTTTGAACAGGTTGGAATGCTATGGAAACTCAAAGAAAATGTGTCTGTTCATACAGTTGTATCTTTTTTAAAGGTATGAACAAGAACACTAAAGGAGATGTGTATTGCAGTTATGTAATATTAAACATAACCTAGTCTACTTTTTAAATTATGGAATAGAAATTTCATTTTAGGGCGCCTGGGTGGCTCAGTTGGTTAAGCGACTGCCTTCGGCTCAGGTCATGATCCTGGAGTCCCGGGATCGAGTCCCGCATCGGGCTCCCTGCTCAGCAGGGAGTCTGCTTCTCCCTCTGACCCTCCCCCCTCTCATGTGCTCTCTCTCTCTCAAATAAATAAATAAAATCTTAAAAAAAAAAAAAAGAAATTTCATTTTATCTCTGGTTCATGGACCTGGCTTTGCAGAGTATATGTAGTCATGGGAATATGTATATAATTTCTGTTTTTAAAAAAACTTTTTTTTTTTTAAGATTTTATTTATCATTTGAGACACAGATACAGAGAGAGGGCATGAGCAGGAGGAGAGGCAGAGGGAGAGGGAGAGGGAAAAGCAGGCTCCCCGCTGAGCCAGGAGCTGGACGTGGGGCTCCATTCCAGGACCCTGGGATCATGACCTGAGCCGAAGGCAGATGCTTAACCATCTGAGCCACCCAGGCGCCCCTAAAAAAACTTTCTATTTTAAATTATATACTTGAAAGATTATAGACTCCTAAGAAGTTACATTGAGGTCCTGTGTACCCATCACCTAGCTTTGCCTAGTGGTGACATGAGATTAGTATGTATGTATGTATGTATTTGAGAGAGAGAGAGCATAAGCAGGAGGGGCAGAGCGAAAAGGAGAGAGAATCTCAAGCAAAGTCTATCCTCAGCACTGAGCCCTGTGGGGTTCGATCTCAAAACACTGAGATAAGCACCTGAGCTGAAATTAAGAGTTGGTCACTTGACCGACTGCGCCACTGAGGCGCCCCGAGATTAGTTTTGAAATCATTGATAAACCTTCTTTGCCCTCTTTAAAAGCCTGGGTTTTTTTGGGTTTTTTTGGGTGTTTTTGTTTTTGTTTTAGATATCTAACTTTCTTTAAAGAAAGGACACCTATCATATGCCTGATCCTCTTTAGCTTTCAGAATTATGAAGTGTCCTGTAAGGATCCTGATGTCACTATTGCTTTGTTTCTTTGGTACTTCCTTCTCCATTTTCCTCATTTTCAGATTGTACCATTGATTGGGAAGTGATTATATCTCATCTGCTTTTCTGGTATATTTCTCCCTGGCAATTTAAAATATATATAAGCCCCATTTTATTTCTTAAATTGAAGAAACATACTCAGTTAAATATTCAAATTTCTTGTTTGGAGTTTATTTTGGTAGTATTTGAAAACTTGAGGGTTTTTAACATCATCTCTTTTTTTTTTCCTTTTAGCCTGAAAATGAGATTTCTTCAGACTGCAATCATGTAAGTATGGATTTTCCGTAACTCACCATATGTGCTTTATATATATGGCAGATTCAGGATGCTTTTTCTGTTGTTTTGGGAAACATTATGTCTTCTTAGATTCTCTTAATCTTAACAAGGATGTTAAACCTTATTTAAGGACCATGGTAAATCTGCAAATACCCCTCCATTCTAGAAACAAGCAGATTTTGTCAAATATTTATGTACTTGAGCTTAAGTTTTACTTCAGTTATAGCTACATATGAAAATAATTTTCTCTGCTTATCATGCTTACAACTTTATTTTTAAAGATTTTATTTATTTGCGAGAGATAGCAGGCACAAGAGAGAGCATGTGGGTGGGCAGAGGGAGAGGGAAAAGCAGACTCCTGCTGAACGGGGAGCCCCACGCAGGGCTCCATCCCAGGACCCTGGCATCATGACCTGAGCCAAAGGCAGACACTTAGCTGACTGAGCCACCCAGGCACCCTGTGTTAAAGGTTTTACACACACACACACACACACACACACACACACACCTCTCTCTCTCTCTCTCTCTCTCTCTCTCTCTCTAGAGATAACTATAATGAATACATTAAAAAATCATTTATATAGGGGCAACCTGAGATCCTGACCTCAGCTGAATCCAAGAGTCAGATGCTTAACTGAGCCACTCAGGCGCCCCAAAGGACTATATTCTTTAATAGAAAGTGCTGTTAATAAACATAGGCAACAGGGGCTCCTGGGTGGCTCAGCTGGTTAAGCATCTGCCTTCGGCTCAGGTCATGATCCTGGAGTCCTGGGATCGAGCCCCGCGTCAGGCTCCCTGCTCCATGGGGAGCCTGCTTCTTCCTCTCCCTCTCCATCTGCTTGCCGCTCCCCGCTGCTTGTGCTTGCTTTCTCTCTCTCTCTGTCAGATAAATAAATAAAATCTTTTAAAAAAATAAAAATTAAAAAATAAACATAGGCAACAGGTATAAATAGACTCTTCACAGGTAAAGAAAAAGATGTCCAATAAACAAGAAAATTTTATTCTTTCTTATAATTAAAACTGTGAAAATTAAAAGACAAATGAGTGCATTATTTTCATCCATCTGATTAGCAAATATAAAAAATTTGATAAATACACAGTATTGATGGGAATGTGGGGATTTAAGCATTCTCTAGCCTGCTAATCAGCAACCTGCTACCCATTAGCGAAATCCAGACCACTGCCTGTTTTTATGCATAAAGTTTTATTGGAACACACCCACACCTATTCAGTTACATACTGTCTTCGGTTGCTTTCCATGCTATAATAGAAAGGTTGAGTAGTTTCTTTTTCTTTTTCCTTTTTTTTTTTTTTTAGGTGTTATTTATTTATTTGGCAGAGAGAGAGCACAAGTAGGCAGAGTGGCAGACAAAGGGAGAGGGAGAAGCAGGCTCTCTCCACTGAGTAGGGAGCCCGACGTGGGGCTCGATCCCAGGACCCTGGGATCATGACCTGAGCCAAAGGCAGCCACTTAACTGACTGAGCCACCCAGGTGCCCCGGTTGAGTAGTTTCAACAGTGACTGTAGGTCCTAGAAGTATAAAAGATTTTACTTTCTGGCCTTTTGCAGAAAAAGTTGTTAAACTCTGCTCTAGCCTATAAATAAGAATATAAATATGAAAAACTTCTTTGTAAAGCAGAGAACTTAAAATGTGTATATATTTTGGCCTAGCGTTTTTACTTCTAAGAATTTATGTATAGTTATACTTAATGGATTCAAATATGTCTATAAGAGGATATTTGGCATTATTTATGAAGCAGAAAATTAGGGGAAAAACTCAGAATCCCATCAGTAGAGTGACTCTGGCATGGGGGAATCCCAGAAAGCAGCTAATCTGTGCCCTAGAGCTCCTAAAAGGCTAGAGAATAAGAAGGATTTGACACTGCTGAAAATGGGGACAAATAGTATACAGAAAACAGGAGAATTGATGTCCTTATAAAAAGAAATTAGGACACAGAGACAGAGGGGAAAACCATGTGAAGATACAAGGAGAGAGGTCTCAGAAGAAATCAGTACTGCCGGCACATTAATCTCAGACTTCTAGACTCCAGAATTGTGAGAAAATAAATCTCTTGTTTAAGACACCCAGTCAATAGTATTTTGTTATGGCAGCCCAGCAAACTAATACACTTTTGGGTTGGGATGGGTTGCTTGATAATTTTTCCCATTAAAATTATAGGAACAAATTTTAAAAAGCAAACAGCTTTCCACATAGTAGGGAGTTCTGGAATGAGTTAGTGTTGTTAAGCAAGAGATAAAATTGGTTATGAACAATTGTTAGGCCTGTAAATACATTTGAAAATGTTTACACAATGGACAAATTCCTAGAAAGACAAATTTACCAAAACCAACACAAGAAGTAGAAAATCTGAGTAACCTATATTTATTTTAAAAAATGAATCTGGGGGCGCCTGGGTGGCTCAGTTGGTTAAGCGACTGCCTTCGGCTCAGGTCATGATCCCAGGGTCCTGGGATCGAGTCCCACATCGGGCTCCCGGCTCGGCGGGGAGCCTGTTTCTCCCTCTGACCCTCTCCTCTCTCATGCTGTTTCTCTCTCGCTCGCTCTCTAATAAATAAATAAAATCTTAAAAAAAAAAAATGAATCTGTAAATAAAATCTTTATTGGCTGGCTGGCTCAGTCATTGGAACATGTGATTCTTGATCTCAGTGTTGTAAGTTCAGGCCCCACGTGGGGTGTAGAAATTACGTAAAGAAATAAAACTTTAAAAATATATATATATTATTTTTAAGTTTTATTTATTTGTTTGAGAGAGCGAGAGCCAGAGAGCATAAGTGGGGTGAGAGAGCACGAGCAGGGTGAAGGACAGAGGGAGAGGCAGACTCCCCGCTGAGCAGAGAGCCTGATGCGGGGCTTGATCCTAGAACTCCAGAATCATGACATGGAGCCAAAGGCAGCCGTTCAACCGACTGAGCCACCCAGGTGCCCCTTAAAAAATAATTTTAAAAAATGAATCTGTAAATAAAAATGCCATAAAGAAAACTTCAGGACCAGATGGATTTATTGGTGTAAGGAAAAAACACCACCAGTCTTTTATTTACTTACTTATTAAAGATTTTATTTATTTGAGAGAGAGTGAGAACATGCAAAGGGGGAGGGGCAGAGGGAGAGGGACAAGCAGACTCCCAGCTCAGTGGGGAGCACGATGCCAGATTCCAGAACCCTGAGATCATGACCCAGAGCTGAAATCAGATGCCCAACCACTGAGCCACCCAGGCACCCCGTCACCAGTCTTTTATTTTATTTATTTATTATTTTTAAGGATTTTATTTATTTATTAGAGACAGAGAGCTTGTGCACAAGCAGGGGGCAGCAGAGGGAGAAGCAGGCTCCCCACTGAGCAGGGAGCCCAGTGTGGGGCTCGATCCAGGACTCTGGGATCATGACCTGAGCTGAAGATAGACACTTAACCACCTGAGCCACCCAGGAGCCCCTGTATCAGTCTTTAAAGATGTTATTTATTTATTTGAGAGAGAGAAACAGCATGAGAGGGGAGAGGGTCAGAGGGAGAAGCAGGTTCCCCACTAAGCCAGGAACCCAATGTGGGACTTGATCCCAGGACTCCAGGATCATGACCTGAGCCAAAGGCAGTTGCTTAACCAGCTGAGCCACCCAGGCGCCCCCAGTCTTTTAAAGAATAAAAAAAAAAAAGTGGAAATATTTTTCTGTTCATTATGAGGCTAACATAACCTTACTGTCACCTAAAAAGGATATAACAAGAAAGAAAACATAGGCCAGTGTCACTTGTGAATCATAGATGAAAAAATGTTAACCAAGTTAGTAACAAACTGAATCCACTAAAATACAAGTAGGGAAATACATCAGGACTGCATTGGATTTAGTGCAGAATGTGAGGTTAATTTAACATTTGAAAAGTTAATCACAATAAAGGAGAAAAAGTTATGTCATCATCTCAGTAGGTACATTAAAAATCATTTGACTAAATTCAATACTAGTTTTTTAAGTTTTTATTATGGGAAATTTTCTAATATTAGTAATTAGACTGAAGGCTGCAGGATATAAGATTAGTAGATTAAAAAATCAGTTGTAGGGGCGCCTGGGTGGCTCAGTCGTTAAGCGTCTGCCTTCGGCTCAGGTCATGGTCCCAGGGTCCTGGGATCGAGCCCCACATGGGGCTCCCTGTTCGGCAGGAGGCCTGCCTCTCCCTCTCCCTCTCCCACTCCCCCTGCTTGTGTTCCCTCTCTCGCTGTGTCTCTCTCTGTCAAATAAATAAATAAAAAATCTTAAAAAAAAAAAAATCAGTTGTATTCCTACTGACCAGCAGTGAATGATCTGAAAATGAAATTAAAACAACTTTATTTACAATAGCATCAAGAAGAATCAAATACTTAGGAATAAATGTAACAAAAGAAGTATAAGACTTATAAACCGAACTCTATGGAAAACATCTTTGAACAAAATTAAAGATGACTTAAATAAAGGAAAAGACATCCTATTTCATGGATTCATGGATTGGAAAACTTAATTTTGTTAAGATGGTAATACTCTCCAAATTGATCTAGATTCAGTGCAATTCCTGTCAAAATTTCTGCTGACAACTTTGCAGAAATTGACATGCTGACCCTAAAATTCATACGGAAATACAGGGGATCCAGAATAGCCAGAATAGTCTTGAAAAAAGAACAAAGTTGGAGCATTCATAATGCCTGATTTCAAAATTTACTATATAGCCACAGTAATCAAGACTGTTGGTACTTGCATAAGGATAGACATATAGATCACGGGAGTAGATTGAGAGTTCAGAAAGAGACACATTCATTTATGGTGAACTGATTTTCAGCAAGGATGACAAGATAATTCACTGGGGGGAAACAATAGGCTTTTCAATAGATGGTTCTGGGACAACTTGATATCCACATACCTAAAGATTAATTTGGACCCCTATTTCATACCGTATATAAAAATGGATTAAAGACCTAAATATAAGAGCTAGGGCGCCTGGGTGGCTCAG